AAGCTAAATTACGAATGATCACGTCGATCGGCGAGTTATTTTGTCTCACTGCACCAAACTGGTACTACGCGAAGCCCGGATAGTGATTAGCCGATCAAAAACAAGTGCATGTTCTAATCAAATCACGTACATGATCGAGGCTTTCATAAGCCGCATTTAATTATGTTCCAGTGTCCAGCCGAGGCGTTTCGTAACCGCTTTAGGTTGGAGACACATCGAAGTGCGTCAATTAAATTTCCCGCAACGTAACATGCATTTCTAAGTTATGTCTTCTTATATATCAACAGAAAACATTCCAAGTTAAAACATCTTACTTTTAGTATTAAAGTTAGAAGTTGAACAAGGAAAAGTTCTTTGATCCTTATCCAATCATAAGATGTAAAATTTTAAATTGTATGATTATAATTTAAACTCCTTAATCAAATTATATTAATATAATACAATACATCATCATCATTTCAGTCTGTTTGAATCCACTGCTGAACATAGGCCCGCCGTAGACTGCCACGAAGTACGATCCTAAGCCATCGTCAAGTTTCTTCTTTCATTGAACTATTTACACTTTATGACTTACTGACAAATAACCCAATAAATTGACGACCACTACTTGACATGGAAAATTACTCAGAGCTAAAATAAATAGCAACCAGTCCGTTACAGTGCTAATATTAAATATTACCGAACGAGTAACAGTTAAAACAACAACTAGACGACCACGCATAATGAAACGGATTCGTAAAATATCTCAATTAAGTTTCTGTGTGGTCCGATTGATTATATGGCAGCCGCACAATGTAAGGAGACTATAATATTGTCGATATTAAATATCAGTTATTACATCGATGGAAACGCTGTAACAATTGATAATAGGCATGTTACCATTCGTCGTTATTGCCGAAGCAGACAGTGAATGGGTTATTTCCATGTCCGTAATAGAGACTTTTATGAACTTAAATGGCAGCACTTAACTTTGAATGTATATAAATATGATAAATCAGAGGCTGCCTCGTAACCTATAGTTTTACAAATATTTCTAAATATGATGTTGATAATTGAGAAAAGTTATTTCAACTTGGAAACAATTGAATACGAACATGGTATATACCGCTCTTTGATATGGAAATATTTGATGTCAGCGTGCATTGTGAAGCAATTAACAGGCAGCTTGTATGATTTACTATAAATAAAACAGTAAACGCCATTAACAACTGTGTTAAGCTTACTGGAGGTCGCCCTAATGATGCAATAACTTATATTTTATGCACAGTACAAACCATCAAAGTCAAAGAGATCATAAGACTTGCGTCACTTTATATAACCTCGTCCTCAGAGCCTTCAAGAAAACTGCTGTGCATATTCGATTTATAATACATGAATAATACTGCTTACGTATGTATCGATTTGCATTTGCGTTTTAAAAGCTACTCCCGCACTGGGGAATTATGCCTGCGCCAAGTGACGTTTCACAGACATGAAAATCCGGACACGAAGTTGCTGCTAGACTCATATATTTTACACCGTATAGGGACTGAACCGAACATGACACGCAGTGACAGTTGCCATAGTGACCATTGAGCTGTTCCTGCAGTCGCATGCAAACGGTAAGTTAATTACGGGTCAATGTTTCAACAGCTGAAGTCAATTAAAATCTACTAAAGACTAATGAAATCGGTTCAAACTATTGCGATCACATGTTATGCTATACCTTTGTAGGAAAATATCGAAAGCAGTTGAAGTAATAAAGTAGTATCCCGACTCTTGGAATATAGGAAATTATTTAAAATTAAAAATAAACGACACTGTTAGGAAATCTATTGAGTGCCAATCAATGTTGTTCACATTTCTTTATTGACTGAAACTTAAATAACTGAAATACGGTTCGCATTGCGATCAGCGTCCCGATGGTAAAAACGACACAGAAAATATCATCCATCCGTAACTGTAATTCTTATTGTTTGATATTTTCTGAAGGCCATATTTTATCATCCGTCATTAATATCCCGTTAACGCAGTCTTTTGTTCTGGCATCAAAAATAAAAAAAAGAATCATCGGTAGAACATAAACGTTCCAAATTGTATCCGATTTAATGTAAAGAGTCTTTAAGCGTGTAACAAATGGTGGTGATGTTTCTTTTATCGCATTAAAGTAAGATCGAATTATGCAAAATAAATGTTAAAAAATTACCCGCTCATACGAATGCCAAATGGCATGCTGTTACTCGGATAATAAATGAGCAGTGGCGTGCTTACATAAGAATAATACAACATTAATTCCAATTTATCGAAATGAAGAAGGCAAGCGATCCGTGGGACAGGCTTTCGAAAAGCATAAAGTTCGCTTAACTGTACAATCATGTTCAACGGAACTTCAAGCAACCTGCGAAATTGGTACAACCGTATAATGCCACAAAGTTGTCAGTACATTGGAAAAGTCGTCTGGCTAATGTTTTACAAGCACAACTTTCGGTATTACAACAAATCCTTTAAAACATGAGAGAAAGAAAATCGAGTCGAACTAAAACAACAAGTTTGATAAATTTCAAGCTTCAACTTTGTTCATAGATGCGTCACTGTGAAAACGAGAAATGCTTACGAAGCAAAACTTCGAACAACCGAAAACAACCTCCCAAATACTAAAAATATAACTACAATATTAATAACATACATTATCATATAAACACATTATTGTTCAAATACATTAATGCATGGAATGCAATAAAGAACACAGAATACAAATTTAACTCTAATATAAGATGACTTAAATATTACTTTTAAACTGATATATTTTGTTTACGATCTATGGGTGATATTATGGTAATATCAAAACAACATTTAAGGCGCAATAAAAGAGTATGATTCTTAATTGAGGCAGCTTTAGTCTTCAAGCCGTGTAATTAAAATGGTGCCAGATTTGACGCCATTTTCTCGTAGCAATTAGGCCGTGGACGGTTGGATCACCATGAAACGTCCGGATATTCCCCAGTGAACCAGCTAAAAATGGATATGACTTAATACAATGTCAAATTGTCTTGTGATAACTATCAATCATGTGCTAATAGAACCACAAACAATGTCTGTAGACGAGAAAAGCTCAAATGCGGATTTCACGTGTCCGGATGACATGGAATCCAATGTGCCAATATTGAATCAATCGATATCTATAGCCGCGGTCCGTAATCGCGATTGCGAAATTATCGATGATGTTATCGGACCGTGTATAGATTCGGTTGAATAATTAAATTAACCAATAAAATATTGCAATCCACTATTTACACACTATCGAGCTAATGCACCTGTAATATAAAGCTCTCGTGTAGACACTCGAGATAAGACTATCATTATTTACACCATTAGTAGACCAAATTACAGACGTTCTGCAAAATTCAATTTATTGGACGTAAAATCAGAATTCTTAATAACGCCTTCAATATTCCTTAAAAGCTTTAAAACTGGAGACTTTCAGAGTAGATTGGAAAGTCAAAAGACTTCTGTACAAAATTTGTTTTAGGAACCGCTACGGTGTAAGCCTTATTTATAACGATTCCTCTCTTTGTGGTACATTTGATTAATGAACATACAGTTGACCCGGTGTCAAATGGTCACCGTGCCACCCGTACTTAACGTCGATCAAAATACAAGATATAACTGCGCCTCCACTCCCAAGCAGTAATCGCTTAAAAATTACCCCACGAGTCGGCTTCGTGTATTTACTATTGGTAAAAGCTAGCAAGGATCAAACCGCATCCATACGTTGACATTTATGCGGGTAGTTTACGGTTCTTCGGCCACAAATTAGTGGTCTACCCCCGCCCCAGCTGGAAGGCGTTAAGTACGAGGCCACGCGAACCAAACGTGGACTATCAGCGCGCCACGGTGGGCACACGATTTACGGCCCGCGCGGCCTGTACGTACACGCGCCGGTTTGTAATGACGACATGATTGTGGACAGACGACATGGGGGGAAACAAGTAAAAATACGCCCGTGATAAATGGTGGCGCGGCTGAGGCACGCGAGCGTCGATACGACGATCTCCGGTAAAGGTCGCCGGGCTCCTACCACGGACTCGTCTCGACGTAATGACCGCATACCGAGCACCCGATTGACGTTTTTTATTGCTCCCCGATTGTCTTATGTCGCTGGACCTGACGACCCTTTAGTTTCCCTTGCTAAGTCTAAGTGGTGGCTCAAGTATAACAGATATTTCTCTAGTTAGGACACTTCATCTTCGCCACATCTTGCAATTTCTGATTAATAGATAGTTTACCGGTTTCTAACGTTTTTGCTATTATTTTATATATTACATTTTGCTAAATTAATGTCTTCAGAATAAATGTTCGACATACGAAACTGACTTATTTAACATTGTTCCAGTGAAAAAATCGCTAACAATTTTGTACACAATAAAATTATCTATCGCTCCTACTTCATACTTATTTCGAAAGACAGGTGCATGCAATTGCACAATACATAATCTCCGTCGAAACAATTCCATCTAAAAGCTCGATCCGTAGTAGCTTTACGGGTGGCACATTTGTCCGCCCTTAACAGACAAACAGATGCGAGGTTCTCGAAAGCGATAACAGGAACCAACTATCTGAGAAATGCCGATCGTAATTTATGGTGAAGCCGAGCGACGACGTGGCGCAGCGTCTAACAAAAGACTAGACAAATGACCGAGATAATCACATAGTTAAAGCCCTCAGTGCCTGCAGATGTTATAATGTGTTCATTATTTACCTAAAGCTTACCAATGCGGCTCGGTAAAAAGTACAAAAACCCATCGAAGCTAGGTCTGACAATAAAGTTAAACATGACATTTTTAAAAAAGTGTACATGATCTTAGGGATATAGAGCACACTTTCTAGAACACTGCCCACAGAAAGTTAACGTGCACATGTAAAAGCCCGTATTGATTTCAGAGACGTTCAGCCGCGGTACTAATACATAGATTTACGGGTTAATAAAATATTTGTCCCCCCATTAACACAGACATCTGTTACACGTAAGGCGAGACGCGTCGGGGCGGCGACAAATGCCTTTCAAATTCCGAAAGCGCCAGCGCGTGGGCGCCCTCTCGTAGGTACACGAGCGCTGGACTCGGCCGGCGCGGATCGAACCCGGTGCGTTCCACAGTGCGACCGCCGCCGCCCACGCTGCCACCGGAGAGATTTATAACATCGCCCATATTCGGCCCGCGAGCGGCGCCAAATCGACGCTTCGAATTAAAAACGCGCCACGTTGCATGCAAAAAGATAACGAGAGCTCCGCGTTGATCGATCGCTCGACACCGTTTGATTTACGCGCCCCGCTGCTATAGTATCTACATACACATGTTTATAAGGACGGACTACTGTTGTATTTATTTGCTTATGGACTTTTTGCAGAATTTCTCAACACCAAAATCTAACGTTCGAACTTAAATGGCAATAACGCGGTTCATAACTCATATGAAACGAAGAGGTGTTGCTTTGTATATGATCGGTGAAATCAAACCTATAAATAAAAAAAAATAATGTAATTAACTATTTCGAATGCTTTCATTACATCGTCTTTTCCATTACATTTTGTATATCAGCAACAAGCATGGATGAAAATGTAGAAAGTTTTAGTTGAAATGAACTCACTCTTTGACTTTGTTCTCGGGAGGTATTATGCGACCCGGCATAAAAATTTTCTTGTAATGAATACCGCACGATTTTAACTTCTGCAACAAAGGAAAATAATTACATTAATGAAATAATATTAAAGAGAAAAAGGTCCCGGCTACAAGAAGTTTATTTAGATAAGATAATTGTTACAACATGTATTGAGAGCTATTAATATTTCAGACCTCTTAAATCAAATTTCATTGGTATTCTAATTATTACATTCGCAATAAAGGCCAGCGAACGCCTTAGCACAAAACAGTTGCTTGCATATTTCAACATAGATGAAACACTAATTAACAACATTATATTTATTATAATTAATTAATTAATCCGTAAAAAAAGTTTAACGTACGTTCAGTTTAAAAATTTTAAAAATACTTTTTGAGATTCTTCACTGTCTATGGGTGCTGTAGAAATTTTTTACGGATAGATAAGCTTTAAAAGTTAAGCCTAATCCTTCCTCAAAGGCCAGCCTTTTTGACTCCTCTGGTGTTGCCCATGTCCACGGGGCAGGTCGTGGCGTAAGAGTGAATGGCCTCAAGAGGTAATAAGTCCTGTACAAAATAGACCCAGTAGGAAAGCGCGCTTTACGGTCTACGGGTGACGAGGCTGAAGAGGCGGCCAGCGCTGGCAGTCGCGGAAGTATGCAAAAGCGTTCCTGTAACCAATATGAGAACTGAGTGGAACATCATCGAGGTGTTAGTAGGTAGGCATTTGTCCCACGTCAACCATAAAAGGGTGCTGACAACCCGATTGGAAGGGCAACAGCTTGGCAACTTCTCAAAACGATACTCCATTGCTACTAACGTACATCGTATGGTGTTCTCGTTGCAGTTCAACGTTCTTCGCCTCGTCTCCACCAATATACGACGCGTCAATATCGAGTACAATTTACGGTATTGCGCGTAGCGAATTCGATGACGAAACAACAACGAGACAAGTGCGGCCGAGGCGTCTGCCACTTTAGAAAAAATATCACGTATCCCCTCTATTAGCCGCAACGGGACACCGATTTAATTGACTCGGGCGCGTTTCAATTCGTGAAACGCGCGTGTAACTCAAATTGACAGGACCAATCAGTGCACACGCGCTGCGACGCGACTTGACGGGCTACGTCGACGCGCTACGATCGACGAGCGGTGAGATACGACCCATAAAAGCGAGTGAGAGATAGCGAGCCTAATGAATCTCCGTATCCGTTAATTATGGGAGCAGTTATTTGGAGATTCTCAGTCTATGATGGCGAACTATTGTCACAATAATAATCCCTACGCATCGTAGAAATACCAATTACGTGTGTAGTAAGATCCAGTACCGGAAATATTTAGCGCACCGCCAGGTGAAAAGATCTATTGTTCAGAGTGTATTAGAGAATAGTCCGGTCCACAGCCCAATTGTAGCTTAACCGGTTTATTTTATTTGAAAAGTCGCGGTTTCGTCACCGCCTTTCAAAGGGTTGGTCCCTGGTTATTTGCGGGAAAAACCAAAAGTACTAAAACTTCTGCTTTACCTCGGTCTTTTGTGGGCTCCAAACTGACTCTTTGTTCTACCGCAGTAAATATGAATGACGTTATAACCTCAGATGTTTATATACAGATGCGTTATTAATCACGCCCTATTAAAGGAACATTAAAGCAAGTTATTTGCACGAAATTGACTTAGTACCATTCATGCACATATTCGCTCCTTTTTAGGCTTTTTAGGGCTCCGTACCTTAAAAGGTAAAAAAAGGAACCCTTATAAGATCACCCTCTTGTCCGTCTGTCCGTGTCATCAACGATTTTCTCAGGAACGAGTGAACTTAGCAAGTTGAAATTTATACCAGATACTGAGGTCTATAGTTCCTATTAGGTGTAATAAAGTGAGATTTTGTTACTTGATTATTATATATAAATATTATTTCAATAAACTACCTGAATGGAGTAGTGGGTAGTGTACCTGCCTCCTGTCTCAGAGGGTGTGGGTTCGATCCCCACTACTGGAAAAATTTTGTGTGATGAACATAGTGTTTTTCCAGTGTCTGGGTGTTTAAATATGTATAATATGTATTTATTTACAAAAGAAAAGTAAGTTTAAGTATGTTTATCAGTTATCTAGTACCCATAGTACAAACGTTAGTTAGTTTGGGACTAGAGAACGTTCTGTAAAAATGTATCCTAAAACATTAATTTATTTATTATTATTATTAAACGGTAATGGATACTTCAGTCAGGGCCGGGCATAAATAGGCATTTTTTTAATAATAAACGGTCATAATTTAAATTCAAGGGAGTGGAAGAACTCTTTTTGCGACTCTAAGATTTCCAGTGTAAAAAACTTCAAATACTTCAACTATGGTACTACTATGGCCAAGCAGCAACTTCTGATGTTGCACGAATGTGCAGGCTCATCAGGGGATGTATCACGGTCTCGCTGAGAACCGGCGTGGAGTGTAGCATTATTGCAAAAAATCATAATGCGAAAGCTTTTGCATTTCGTTCATTCATCAGGTAAACGAAGTTCTCGCTTTTAAAGATTGGCGGCACTTGTCCCCAATGCGGTACGGCAAAAAAGGCGGTCTTCAATCGACGATATAACTTAGGACATAAAAGAAATACATACACGGTACCCAAACGAGACAGGTAAAGCCTTTGGAAACAGATGAGTATACGACTAAAGTTATCTGAACCGTGATGCATACAATTCGCTCACGTCGTTTAACATAAAATATCACGGCAGCGCATACCGAACCTGACCTTCCATGAGAAAAACGTACGCTTTACGATCGGATTATGCCGGTATACGAATGCGAGGCAATCGGGACTACGCGAGAACAAAGCGTCGTAGTGGAAAACGCGACTTTCAGTCGTAAAACTGAACGTAATTTTACTGCTTCGCAGTATTCCGGCGCGCTCCATCCGCGGGCGGCCTACGGTCCCTATCTTAACAACTGAGAGTCGTTATAACGAAACGAGCAGGTTGTCTTACACAGCGGTGTGCCATTCCTTAAGTTATGAGGAACCTGCAGTAATCCCACTGAGTTAAGTCAATCTTGAAAACCACTCACTGGTACGCTTTCGCATCTCTTGCGAGCAATTCCGAAACGCGACGCGAAACGGCTTTGTTGACGCCGAATTAAGTAGAAGGCTTAGCGGGTGAGATGTCGGAATCGCTATCGATGGTGTCGGGTTCGAATAAAACCTGCGTTAACGTCTTCTTACTTCCAAAAATCGGTGTGCGGCAATATGGTTACCACATGTGACATTTCGCACTAAAATAGGTGTGAAATACATGGAACGTTATCTAAGCTTTTTTAGTTCAAAACTTAATAGTTAATTTTAGATAAGCTGTCAAGAATGAACTAGAAGATAAAAATGGCAACTGGCTTTCTTTGTCTTTACCCACCTAAGGTTACTATGGCGAGTCCACCACCTTAAATCCTACCTGAAATCAATTTAAAGAAAACTCAAAGTATATGAGAACCTAAAGTTTATCACGTGTCGCGCAAATATTAAATTATAATCCTACATTACTCTAATTAAGATATTCGCTTTAAAGAAAAAGAACACAAGATCATGTAACATTTAACAGTTCATGCATGTCCTACCATAATGCGAGTATAAAAAATGGTATCGATAGCTTACCTCTGGATTATAGTAACGCTTTGTGTTCGTCAGGTCTAAGACGGCTCCTAACTTAGGCACTGTTATCAACAGCTCTTTTATACTCCATCTAGAAATCAAATCACAACATCAAATGTGAAAAAAGTGTAATGTTTTTACTGCACTAATAATAACAAATCTAGAAGCAAAAGTAGAAATCAGCAGTGCGACTAACGGCCGGTTTCAATATTCAATCTGCAGGTAGAATTTTCACGTAAGTATTATGGAGCTAATGTCAAATACCTATCGCTAGTAACCAAATCAACAGATATGTAGAATATTGAAACCAGACGTAGGTGAACGTAGCGTACGTCACAAGACCAAAACATAGATTAAACAGATCCACAGGCTGTAACAAAATATTATACTAATTTATTTCATGCCTGCCAGTACAAATGCACCAAATTATAGCGCTACATTAACTGAGAAGAACAAAATATGAAATAATACATTACTGAAGACATAAATACTACAAATAAAATATACAATTTATTTTTACAGATTCTATCACGTTCATAATCGAATCTTGAAACACTGAAAATTCCTGAATTACCGCAAAACATCATTTTTCACCATTCCAAAAACATTATTCTACGAGATTGCTCGAAGTTGCAGAAGTAATAAAGTTATATTTGTAGAATGAAAGCGTACTTACATGTTTTTCGGGTCGACGCGTTTTTCTAGGAGAGACTGAAACAAAAAAAGAATACCAAATCAATAATCTAGCATGGACTTCGTACAACTTCCTCGAGGCTAGCTTCCGAGGTCGCGGACAATGGTTCTTTGAAAACGCCGCACGTAGGCGACAGACGCTGATAAGGCTGATCAATCATCGACTGGGCCTACCTCACCGGTGTCGATGAACTTTGCCCGCCGAGAGCCGCCTGACGGGATCAAGTTTTGGACGGGACATCCGAAACGTTAGCATTTGAAATTAGTCACTTGATAAAGTGAAAATGCGGACGAAACTAAATTACGTAACAAAGCAAACGAGGCACGTTTCCGAGAAGTATATTCGGTTTTGGGTCAACACACAAAAGGGGGGGCATTATCGTGGCATTAGAATTTCAAATGGGTGAAATTTACGAAAAACCGACGGGCATAAATCTCGAAAACCCATCTCGGCTGCACCGCGGGGCAATTTTTTGCGAGGAAAAAATCGATTTCATCCAAAATCACATTGAATAAAATGTCAGACACCCTTAATAATGGGTTTGTAGAGTAAATATTATTTATCGATGGTGTTGACACGATGTAAAAGTACACATAAAAAATACGAGCGCCAGGAGGTGTATCTAAAAGGGGATAATTTTCAATTTTGGATTCGCCGGTGGCCTTTGTGAATTGAGTGAGGTGGATTAAAATGAATTCATGAATATCGTATACTGAGAAATGTGCATCAATATTAAACATTGTGTTTTAATCACGGCTTTCATTGCAATTTCGTGTGTTCGATTAAATTTTAACGGTGATGTAGGACCGCTTTATAATCTTCGCTGATGTTAGCCTTGTGAAATTCGAATGAATTTATGAGAAACATATTAATGTACCCTTTGAAAATATTACAAAATTTTTTTGTAGTCAAGTGAAGTCTAAATATTCTTGAATAAAACGTAAAATATTTTTATTTAACTATTATATTATCATAATAATTTCAATCGTCAGTGCATCTAAATGTAGTTTCCTTCATTCATTTCAAGCTGAATAGTGAAACTAACTTTAATTCATAAAGCCCTCTTTTTTAACTTTTGCCATTCAAAATTTTTGCGTAGATTTTTTCATTCTGAGTTTTATGGTCAGGCTATAGTCTCCGCTGTTGCACGAATGGGCAGGTCCGTCCTGGTAAGTACCACGACCATCTGCGTTTCGTCTGGTGAGTGAGGGTATCCGGGGTCCATTTAAGTAATAGGGGGCAACACATCTACAACTCTCTACAGGTGTTGCAAATGTCAATGGGCGACGGTTATCACTTAAGATGAACCGTCAACTCGTTTGCTACTTCTCACATAAAAAAATATACATAATTTAGATTTAGCTAAAACATCATGCCCAAAAATATATAAAACTCTTATCTTTTTTTTTTACTAATAACTGGAATTTGTGCTATAAAATGTTGTAACGTATATATACAACACAACATAATAATTTGAACAACATTCGTATGTCATTTATGAAACGAATTGCTTCGCACCGTAAACGTTACTAAAAAGCACTTTATTTAAACTGAAGACCTGCAAGGCGACTATAATTAAATACAACATGAGTAGAGCAATAAAATCGATACGATGATCTGTGAACATAAATCGATTCCATTACGATATTAATGACAATCGTAACTCTCAATCACAGAGCTGAATCCGCAACCTCTGAGGCGCCTACATATATCACTGAAAGCGCAAACGCGTACCGTCCGCAAATGTAAAATTATTTTAACTTACGTTTACCTACTATAACTTAACCACTATTTGTAATTAAATTTATTATAGTTAATTTGAATATAAGCGCGCATTGAAAGAGAAAAATAACATGAAAATCAATCAAACATTCAACTGAGGCGTAGCCAACCAAAGTTGAATAAAAGTCCCGTATATAAGAGAATAAAAGTAGCTTTCTAGCAGAAAAACTTTACTTGCAAATAAACTTTATTGGAATTTAATTCTAAAGCTATAATTGGAAGTTTTGATATTAATCTAAGAAATAACTTTAGCAATGCTGACGTTACCCGCTCGCCAAGTCTATTCATTACATGCCTTGCAGAAGGTGAGATAAATAATTAATGGCAGAAATTATATGTATGTACATTAGTTATTGAAGTCGCTTTATGATTACGGCTAGATCTAATTGTTAGCGATTATTATTTCAGGCGAATTGTATTAAATTAAAACTTATATTGTGATTCGTAACACTTTGTACAGGACTCACTAAAGATGGTAAATGCTATAAACAATAAATAAGTGTATAATTATGCAACACAGAGCAAATGTCGCAGGATTGTTTTAAGACATAATTATACTTTGACACAGAAGATTAATAGGAAGTTTAATGAAAATAAAAAAAAATAGAAATGCAGGTTGCAGAAAGTTGTTTGTATTTCTAGGCACATTAATAAATCTTAAGTATCAAATAATATTTTCAGATATGAAAAATAACGTGTTAATTCCAATTATCCATTACTAATTTCCGCTTGTGTATAACAGGAATATAGCTATGTTACGAAAACGCGATAACTGAAAACGAAAGCGAAATATAAAGGAGAGCGACGAGTCGTCGCGTCGATATTAAAATTTTAGCGTCGATACATCGCAGTAACGACGCGCATGAATCGCACACGACCGTTGACAACGCCTAATTGAAGGGCAAAAACGAAGCGTCCATGCGATCGAATAAAATAATCAACGGCGCGTCCGCGATAAATCGCAGATTACCCGCTGACAAAAACGCGAGAAGCGACACGGCATTACTTACACGTGTCCGGGGCGTGCGATAAAAGTGTGCATGTCATTTTTACGACGCACCACTACCACATTCGCAAACACCGTGGGGGGATGGCAACCACCTGCCGAGATAATTATGACTGCCCGCCGATATATTCATTAAGAGTTGACGAAGCACGACTGGCCGACTGTTTGTCGTCGATAAAACGCAAATTGGGTTTGAGTGCGATTTTCTCATGGTTTTTAAGCCGTTCTTGTGACTTGCATAAATTAAACGTTACATAAATTTTTCAGAACCAACGATTGAATAGTGAAAATATCAATATATTTGTTTATTTTTTAATTCTAAAAGCATCGTTTACAACAATAACAATGATGATAAATATGAACAAAGTTAAGAATATTTGCAATTGGTAACAATGCCCACAACACACTACAAAACAATTTACTTTTACATTGATCAGTTTCTTTAGCAGCTAGGCGTTTTATTTGATGTGTTTTCATCTTTACAGCTGTTACTTCGTATCATAGTGAATCAAGTTTATCGAATTTGGCAACGTGTCAAAATAACAAATGCGGAACATTCCTTGAATGATTTATGGGGTGGCTGTCTTATAACCGTCAAAAACTCCATATCATTTAAGAGGCGTACAGTCAATTTCTGTCTCTATCAGCAAAGATATAAAACTCAATGTGCTCGGAAATCGAACGAACGGGAATTCGAGATCGCGTTTGACAACTTGTTGTTTTTGACAACAGCTAAAGTCTTCGCTTCGCTTACTCCAATGTTAATGATAGCATAATTGACACGAAGCAACTATTGTTCCTATTGTCCTAACGATATTGGGGTTTTGTCGCCTTATGGGAGAGCGACATTTCTTATTGTTTTAGGTGCCGCGAGTCCCTCCTCTCCTTTTTGAGTGATGCAAGCGACACGATGCTGAGAAAAGGTGGGGCTGCCCTATTCATATTTGAAAGTTCTCCGAGCGTTTCATTTGCTCGTTTTATTACATTACACGCGCGAACAACGTAGACACGTGCTAATGTCATATGATTAGGCGATTTAGTGGTATTTACCGTCCCCCCCCCCCCCCCCCGCCCATCCCAATAGTCGGCTTTTACGCACTTTTCGGTCCTAATTGACTCGGCACACGGACGCCACAAACGCCACGAAATTACTTGTTTACGCGTCATTACAGATTTTCGTATTTAAATTGTACATCGGAGAAATTTAAGAAGGAAATCATTTATTGTCACTTTTTACGGTCACTGCTAGTGAATGAAATATCTCAAAGTATAAACATTCGCCTAGATTTGACGACGAAAGAGATTTTCCGACGAAATTTTTAGTAAGTAGCATTATACGAAGAACGGAGTGAGCAATAAAACGACACGCGCACTCATTCATCCGAATAATGAATTAGTTCAAAATAGTTGGCCGTCAACGGCGGAGACCATTGGGAATGCCACAATGGACAGGAATAATCCCCTTGTCCCGATGCCATATGAAGTGAGACATTAAACTCGACGCGCTAAGTGACACGAGAGTAATCACTAAAGCGTAATCCTTGGTGTCAAAATAATTGATATGTGGCCGGTGCCTCGTGTATGCGGGCTTTGGGGCATAAAGGCTGGCGTCGTTGCAACGATCCAATATCAATTGTTTGATTCGTAACGTATACGGGTCGATGTAAAAATTAAGTTTTTTATGGTTTCGACCATAAACATTAACGCGGCATTGGCCCGTTTGCGTTTAAGGACACAGTAGATACGTGTATCGATGTAAGAGAAATGATTTGCTGTACTCAAAAAAACAGGTCAAAAAAGGTGGACGTGTCAAAAAAAGAAGGCATGCAGATGCGTTGACAATCTTTAAGAAAGTGGGCCCCGGTTACCTCACTCAATAGACTAAACGCGAAAGTATCTTCCAATGCACACTGGTCTTCTGTTAAGCCGTGGTATTTCCCGGACGAGCCTAACAATATGTGAGACCGCAGAGCTTAAACATTTCTTCTTATGACGATATCTTCCTTTAGGTTTTTTTACAAGTGTCAACCCTCCATAGGAACAAACAGCTAGATCTTGAACAATTATCTATCTGTAGGTCACACAACACGATCTCCGACGCTGAAGACAACCACAGCAACTACGTCGTATTGGTTAATATGGATCCAAAGATCGCACTTCTTTGTTCCCTGCCGCGTGATCATCAGGGCCTCGAATTGTAAGTGTGTAGGTTGTTGTATAAACCACCAC